AGTGAGATCTCCTCCATAACCTCTTGGTGTTGGGAGATGATCACCTGCAATCTCCAGAGAGAGAGATCATGAGAGAGAGAAAAAGAGAACTATTGACTCAATTGTGATCATGTCACATTCAGCATCACATACTACTCATCTTTCAAGACATTGCTCACTTATCAAGTTAAAATTTATTAGAAATGTTTGCTTGTCTTGGAGAACACTTGTAGAACAAGTTACTTGCAATCCAAGGTTTTACTATAGATAAAAAAATTAATAATAAACAAAATAAAATGAATAAAGAAGAAAGAACAACAAAAGCAAAATAAAAACAAAAAGAAACCCTCATACAGCAGTCATAGCGCAAAGCAGAAGCATCTCCCCAGTCCCCTTCATGCTGCAGTGGGAGTCTGGTTAAAGGCCTCTAAACTAGTCTCCTTATGCTGCTGCAGTTTGCTTAATCTCCTGCCTGATGTGGGGAGGCCCACTGATACATATGGCTCTCTGGGCTAGCTCCAGCCATGCTTTGGTCATAGCTAACTGCAAACCCCTGTCTCTGTCCAGAGGTCTGACTGTGTCAGTTAATATGGGAAGGAGAGGATATGGTCTACTTTCCCAACACCTGTTCTCCATCACCTTCCACTGGGGACCTCCCAGTCTCTCGGCTTTCACTACAGGGCAAATTCTCTGGTCATCTTCTGTCTTCCTTCCGCAGACCTTTTACCTATTGCATTATTGGAAACTCTCTGACCCAGGTACTACTCTATTCCCCTCTACCTGTGGTCCTTTGTCAGTCACTGTCCTAAGAGCTTCATTTCACAAAACTTATAACAACCCAAGGGCTAAGCAGAGGGCTTTTTTCCCCACACACAACTATTGGTAATGGGCAGAGTATTTTTTCTTAGATATCCCTGATTTTAGGGAGAATAATAGGAAAATGGCTGTTTTGGTATCTCTCTGCTATGTCTCCCTTTCTCCCCATTGTCTCCTGAGATGAAGTCTGTGGCTCCCCACCAGTGAGTTCTATGTTACCTTTGGCTCACGGTGTTAAGCTGCTCTCTGCTTAGGGTGGGAGCTTTTCCTGCAGACAATGAATTGTCTGCAGGGGACAGAATGCCACAGGGACACAGCTATCCTCCGTGTTTGGTAAGATATTGAGGGAGGGATTGTTTGTTTTAGGACTGCTGGCTCTCGCTTTGTTTTCTGTGTTTCAACACTTGCAGTATATAGCTCCTGAGACTATACCTACAGCTGTCTTCCATGCTGAGTTTCTTCTTCCAAGTGAGAGGAAGAGTATATAGGGAGCTTTGCTCAAGGGTCTGACCTCTGTAGCACTGACTCTTCCCTCAGTGTGCTAGAACTACTCCCAAGGTGGTGTGTTCACTGGGTGAAGATTGTTTAGTGCTGTGGACTAATGGGGGTGCCACTTTTCTTTCTCAACCACCCTGGTATTTGACTGTCTTGTGGATTTCTCTTTCAGGTTCATTTTCTGTATTTGGGTTTGTTTGCCTCCTGTTTCAGAATATCTGCATTATCTAGTGGCTCTCTACTGAACTTTCCTCATGCACCTCTTTCTGTAGTCAGCCATAAAGACTCTGACTCAGTCAGTTATCTAAATCAATAATTCATAACCTTCCAAAAGAGAAAGCACTAGACCTGTCTGAATTCACTGATAAATTCTACAAAATTTTAATAGAAAAATGCAAATTCTCTAATTTTCACAAGAGTAGCATCAAATGCATCACTTTCTAACTCATTTATTCTAATACCAAAACCAAAGTTGTTTTCAAGAAAGGGAATCTACACACAAATATCACTGATAAATATAGATACAAGATCCCTCAACACAATAATAATAAGTAATCAAGAACAACCATCTGTCAAAATAATTATATAACAAGCAAATGGGATTTATCACAGGGATGCAAGTGTGGTTCAACACTGAAAATTCAAATAATGAAATACATCACATCAATAGGCAGAAGAAGAAAATGTACAACTGTATCAATAGATGCAGAAAAACAATTTAAAAATTGAACATTGATTAATGACAAAAGTTCTTAGCAAATTTGGAAGAAAAGAGTATCTTCAACTTGATAAACTTTTTAAAAATCACTACATCTATCATCGTCCATAATGGTAATAAAGTAGGTATTTTCTCAGCCTTATAAAGAAAAAGGCAAATGTGCCCTCACTGATGGTTTTCAACACAGTTCCAGAAAGAAGAACTATCTGAGGCAGTAATGTGAGAAAAAGAAATTGAAAAGATATAGATAGGGAAGGAAAAAAAATAACTTTTATTCACAAAAGGCATCACTAGGAAATCTTTGGAGTAAAGAAAACAACAAAAACTTGGAATAAGCAGTTACAGCAATGTTGTAAGACACAAGGTTAATGTACAAAATTATATGCAGAAATAAATATAAATTTACCATAAAACTTGTATATACGACAATTGATTAAAGTGTATATAATATGCAAAAACACATTATGGACAAATAGAAATAAAATTATAAATATATTATTAATAAGATCCAAGAAATATAAATTGATGGACATATTCTACTTTCATGGATAAAAAGATTCAATATGATAAACCATCAGTTCTGTTAAACTGATTTATAAATTTATCTTAATTCTAATAGACATCTCATGAAGTGATTTGTGTGTAAGTTGAGTATGAGTATGAGTATGCGTTGAATATCCCTTGTCTGAAATATTTGGGAACAGATCTGTATCAGATTTTGGACATTTTAATCTTCTAGACTATTTACATATACAAAATGAGATAGCTTGAAGGAAATGAATGAAGTCTAAACAAAATTCATTTATTTTTTCTTCTCTCTTTTCTGGATACAAGGTCTTGCTTTGTAGTTCAGACTGTCCTTGAACTCACTGTGTAGCCCAGGATGGCCTTGAATACACAGTAATCCTCCTGCCTCAGCCTCACTAGTGCTGGGGTTACAGGCATGCACCACCACACCTGACTTCATTTTTAAAATATGTGTTATGTGCATGGACTGCTGGTAATTTTATACAAACAATTTAAAATTTTGTGCATGTAGCAAAACTTCACTGTGTGGCTCTTTCTACCTGTTGTGCTATACTGGTGCTTAAACACCTTCACATTTTGGAGCACTTGGAATTTTTAGATTAGAGATGGTCAATGTGTGCTGGAAAACTGATGCTACAGTTTATGTACAAAGGCAGAAACTTGCCACAATATGAAACTAAAGTGAATCTCCAAAGTGTCTGTGATCCAAGTTTGGGAAAAACAATGGGAATAGAAAATGAGAAAGGGAAACAATACTGGATATCAGACGGAATGGAAAGCTTAGTGATGAGGTTGCTGAAATTTCATAAAGCAACTGATTTAAATAAATTGAGACTCCAAGGCATAAATGAGAAGAGCGGTTATACTTCATGATCTGTTGAAAGTGTATGGATCTGAGGCTTAGAGTACCAGAACCACAGGAATTTCTTGAAATGGCTCTTTTATGGTTTCCCTCTGAAGAGTTTTCTCAGAGTTCCCATTAGGTCCTTATTCCTCAGACTGTAGATGAAGGGATTCAGCATGGGGGTGACCACGCTGTACATCACTGAAGCTGTTGCACTGGAGTGTGAGTTGTGTGTTGCAGATGAACTAAAGTACACTCCTAGGCATGTACAATAAAATAAGCAGACAACAGACAGGTGAGATGCACAGGTAGAAAATGCTTTGTATTTCCCCTGAGCTGATGAGATTGCACGTATGGATGAAACTATCTTGGAGTAAGAGTAAAGGATGCCAGTTAGAGGTCCACAGAACAGCAGCCCTGCTGCAAAAAACATTACCATGTCATTGGAAAATGTGTCAGAACAGGCAAGTAGGACCACCTGATTAATTTCACAGAAAAAGTGTGGGATTTTCAGTTCTGTGCAGAAGGACAGCTGCAGCACCATTAAGCTTTGTAACAAGGAGTTCAGGGCACTTGTGATCCAGGACACCAAAACCAGCAATCCACAGAGCTTGTGATTCATGATGACTGTGTAATGCAGAGGGTGACAGATGGCCACAAAGCGGTCATAGGCCATCACAGTCAGGAGAAAGTTGTCCAAAACTCCAAAAAGTATGAAAAAGTATATCTGTGTGATGCAGCCTTTATAGGTTATGGTCTTGTTGTGTGTCTGAATGTTCACCAGCATCTTTGGGATTGTGGTAGAAGTGAAACAGATGTCGACAAAAGACAAGTTGGAGAGGAAGAAGTACATGGGTGTGTGCAGATGAGAGTCTGAGATTGTGGCTAGGATGATGAGCAGGTTCCCAAACACAGTGACCTGGTACATGAAAAGAAAAATGCCAAAAAGGAAGGGTTGCAAGGTGGGGTTCTCTGAAATTCCCAGAAGAAGAAATTCTGAAATTTTTGTGTCATTCTCTGTTTCCATGTGACTTTAAAAAGAGAGAAAATTAACATAGTGCATTACTAACCTTACAGAAATGGTATAATTTATATTTTACAGTCAAGTCCCCCGAATATGTTCACCTTTAGTGGATCCTCTTTGCCATCACTGGCTTGGAATTCCTGTTTTTCTCTAAGCCATTTTCCAAGAGAATTCATTTTTAACAATTGGAATTTCTTTCATGCAATTGAGTAATATAATTTAATGCTGATCATGTTCTGGACACTGTCTAGGCAATGACTGATCAATGCTAAAAGAAAACCAAACAACCCAAAGGTTCCTGACATATATTGAGGAAGTAATAATACAAACAAATGAAAGCAAATAAGGGTAAGTAAAGATACAATCATATAATCTACCAGATAGTAAGTTATTGTGAAGGAAAAAAAGACAAAGATGGAGGAGAAACTAGAGAGAAGATGTTATTTTAATGGTTATGTATGTAAGCAAGACCAGCAGGTAGGTGACACTTAAAAAGAGATCTTCAGGAAGACAGGGAGTGAGCCACAAAGTTTTCTGCAGAAGTGCATGTCTCACAAGAGATACAGTCAATGCAAAGGTCCTGAGGATGATGCTTGTTTCAGGTCAAGAGAGAGTCAGCATGACAGGGAAAAATGAGTGAGAGGGAGAGTGATATGAGAAAATGTCAGAGAATAATGACAAAGTGCCCTCACTGTTGCTGAAGCTTCAAGGCATAGGATCTCTCTAATCAGATATTACTCCATTTGCCTTTTATTAAGTTGGCTGCCAAAATAGTATGTGAATTGAAATGTACCTTAGTTTATTTCCATATATTTACTTATGTTGTGGGCTATGCATTATGAGTTATATTTTAGAATATACTGAGCCCAGGTCCATGTTCTCTGAAAACTTCCTTTAACCCAAAAGGCAAATGTGTGTCCACATATGCACATAGACAAACACATACTCTGCTTTAAAACACGCTGGATGGCAAGTTACTTGGGACTGTGTTGATGTCACATTTTTTTCTCACTCTCAGTCATACTAGTTAAAACGAATGTCTACCAGGCAAGCTCTCTCTAACAAATTATCTTTTAATGAAAAATTGTAACTGGCACTCAGAAATTTTAGTTTGTAACTCTCCCATATACATGTAACATTGAGGTTCCATTTTGGCAAGGGCATTTTTCTTCTATCCTGTATTTAAACAAATACTTACAAACATACTTAATAAACAAAGTGAGATATTAAATGGCCCTGAGGGAGAAAAATGGTCTAATAAGCTCCTGTCGCCCCTGAGAGATTCCAAGAAAAAAAGCTTTCTGTTTCTGTCTTCATTCTAACTCTAATTACACCCACTTTTGGACTAGCAAAAATAATACAGCTGAAAACAAAATACTTCAAAGACAAAACTGATGATATGATTTTTATGCGAAGATACTTACATATTGAACATCTGTATAGGAAAAAATGCAAAACGATTAATAAAGCAAAATTTTAAAAGTAACTATACAAAGAACAAAAAAATTGGGTCTTTTAAAATAATAGATTTTTTTCTGTGCAAATAAATAATGATTTGATAATTTTTTGAATTTGTAATTGACATGATAATTATATATACTGGGATATTATGTGAATTTTCAATTCATGTATACCTTGTGTAATGATCAAATTAGGGTACTTAGAATATCCATTACCTCAAATCTTTATCATTTATTGTATTGAGAATATTCAGAATCCTCCTAGGTATTTTGATAGATACAATACATGATGACTAACCGTCGTCACTCCACTTTGCAGGAGAATACAATTTAATCCTCCTTTCGCAATGCAACTTTGCACCCACTGATCAACCCCCTTCCATTCTTCCTCCCCCACCCTTCGTCATGTTCTGGTAATTACTGTTCTACTCTGTACTTCCATGAGACCAATTGTTTTAGATTCCAGAGTAAAAATCAATTGGTATGTGTTCTTAGGTGAAATAAGCCAGGCATGGAAAGGAAAATAACTTGTTTTTCTATGGATCAAGAGCAGAAAAGGCAACCCTTTTCCTCTTCTTTTCTTTCCTTTGTGTTGCTGGGAATTGAAACCAAGGCCTTCACCTTGAGTTACATCCCCAGCCTATCCGACCCTTTTTTTGGAAACACATTCTCACTAAGTCCCCAATTTTCTCACCTTGGGGAGGAACTTGCCTCAGCCTCACAGAATGCTAGGGTCACAGATGTGTGCCACCTTGCCCAGTTTCTGTTTTTTTATGTGGTATCATTTCTGTTTCCCTGCATTTTCAGTTCTGAATTCTTCAGACAAATCCAATGGACACAATGTAATCCTGATTGTGGTATTCATCTAACATGCAAAGTCCTCTCCAGATTATATTCTGAGAAATCTTGCACATACCATTAAAAATTTAACTTTTAACATTAAATACAATCTTTTGTGTGGCTGATCCCAAAGGGAATTACATCACCCACATGTTTATTACATTGTGCTAGGTCTTGACATTGAAATACAAGATCCAAACAAGCAGAGACTTCACCTGCTTTGTTCACCTTTCTGTTCACACAGCACCATGTGAATATATCCACATTATGTAGGATAAAATTTAATAAAGGGGATGTTATGAAATGAGAAGAAGGGGGGGAATACAATTAAGTTAAATTGTGTGGTCTCAAAACAAGTCTATTAAATAACCTGGACCGGAACATCATTAAACAAAAGAGGATATATAATAGAAGTAATTTAATACTTTTAAGATTGGATTGATAATTAAATTGGCAAGATTTAGACATAAAGTAATACAATGAAATATTGCTGAAATAGTGTGATCAATAGCAGTCAACTAGTTACTATTATTGAATGAATTAGGAATTACACCTCAGTGTATGCAGACATATGACAAGGTTGTATTTTAATTTAGTTTGAAAAGCTGGAATAGTTTAAATAAAGCTGGAATAAATGGCTATGTATACATAGGAAAATGAAGTTGGTCCCTTAGCTACAATATCTTACAAAATGTCAGGAATTAAAGAACTCAATTTGAATGTAAACTACATGTTTCGGATGTTTCAGAAGAAAATTGTGAACCCATCATAGAAAGTTCATGGTTGGGAAAAATCATTTTAAATAAGGCAAGAAATTCAAAAGTAAGAAGATGGACATACTTTACTAAATGAAAATTAAAGTATCATGGCCAAAGTAATATTCCAATAATTATTAGAGAAAGAACAAACATGAAATTTCCATTGAAATGCTGAAAACTATAGAAAATATCATATGATATCAATGTAAAAAATCAAAACATTGTTACATCTCGGAAACAAGAAATATCCTTATTTCACCATATGTCCCACCACAGGTAATGCATTATTTTTCTTTTCTACCTAATTAACTGCAAAGTTCTTTGGACATATGTTCTACTTATATTGAAATCACCTTAAGCCTCTCAGTCACCTTCTAATTGAGCTTCCATTACCATTGCTTAACTGTCAACAAAGACCCTTGCACTGAGCTCAAAATCCCCTTCCTTCTTAGCATGGCAAATAAATACATCAATAAGTTAAAGAAGGAAGAAAACCCCAACAATCACCCAGCTCTGGGCAAGGCTGGGTTGGCTCTTGGCTTATGTTAGGTACATGCTCTTAGCTTTTATTATCTCACTCTGCAGCATCTGCTGAACACTAGGAATCACCTGGATGGATTTTACAAATGGAAGAGCCCAGTGTGGAAGTCCAGATTCCTTCTTGAATGGTTAATGATGGAGAATGAAGCTATGTTGTCAGAGAACACAGCAGGAAATGATTTAAGTATGAGTCACCAAACCAGATGCAGGACTCCAAACTAAACAACCAAGTCCCTTCCAGACCAAGGTTTCACACTCTGAACGACAGTGGCAAGGAGATATTTACAGCTTTGCCTGTTTGGTCATTAGGTACATTTTCCTCTTGTTATTCCCTGTGGGAATGTTCTACATTGAAATTTTTTCTTACTGATTCTTTGTTCCCAAGACACCAGGATAAATGTCAGGTGAATAAATCTTTATTATATCATTCCCATGAATTCCTCCATTTTCCAGAGATCTAACCCCCGATACCTAATTTCAGCCCTAAACTAAAGTTTTGTTGAAGTTTGACACTGAGAAACCTGTCTTAACTAGGTCCCTTAGCTCTCCAAAGCTCTCATTTGTGTTGGAGACACAGTTCCCCCTACAGTATTTCCAAAAAACTGACTATTCTTCTTCTGAACAAGGGTATACATTGGAATGCCTTAATATAAAACCGTAAGTAGTATAGTCTTTGGCTTCATGATTTTTTTGCCAATAGAAGTTAAAACATCATATTTATCACCCAAGATTAAAGAGCTATCCTCTAGTCATTTACTTATAAATCTTTCATAATTCAAAGACATATGTTCAGATATTTTTATGAATATTTCCCCCAAATTGGCAACTTACAACAATTCTCTTTCAGTTTTTATAAAATTCAATTTTTGTGGTCTTTACAATTATGAATCTCATTCTACATTTATAGGAACAGGGTTGAGAATGGTTAGATGGTCTGCACAGTTGGGTCCTTTGAGGGTTAGAATCTCAAAATATTCATTCCATAACTGAATGGAAAGCCATAAGGACACAGACCCTGTGGCTGGAACATAGCAGGTCTTTAATAGATTTTTGATGAATGAATAAATATATACCTGATTTTAATAGGACAAGTGGTATGAGATGTCCATTGCAAATGCTGGTCAAATGGCTCAGGGTGGTGGAATGTGAGAATATGCAGTGACGGGAAAAAGAAAAGGTGTGTAAGGGTTACAAATGTGGAAAAAAATTTGGAGACAGGACATATGGGACATTTTGAGGACAAGAGTCAGGAAAGGTCTAAACAATATCTAGGGAAGGGTTCCTGAAGACTATATCTCTGCTGTCCTAGAGGTAGTAAGCTGCACTGTTCAGAGAGGCCAATCTGGCTGGAAACTGTGGAGAATTTCTAGTGCTGAGAGTGAGCCTTGTCCAGAAGGATAACAGGATCTCA